GCTCTGACGGAATTGTATCTGATGAAGTCAGCGCAAGAATTTCGTAGACTCAAATGACATTTGCGTCACTTGTGTCTTCACAAAGGAACATCACCGGGTCTTAAGGGTCACATGTACAGGCTACAGTAAGGATTGGATTGTTGTAAGAGTGCGAGACGTAGCATTTGTGGTCAGATGATGTTGTTGCACACTCGAATGATTGTGCCAGAAACAGAGAACGAGGATTGCCGAATGATTGGCTTTAATCTTCTATCAATTTCAGTACAGCAGCTAAAATATTAGGAAACACAATTAGCTCAACGAATAGCGAATAAAAAGTTAAACACAACGTCAGTTTATAACATTCTTCCCCGCCGGAGGGATTATTGTCAGGAGAATATAAATTAGGCTTCGCGGTTTCGAAGATTATACGGTCGAACACGTTGTTGGTCTGTGATGTACTGTAGGACATTCCCTGGAACTTCACTGGGTTGTTCTGGTGGTGCCGTTTCGCTTCCAGGAGGATCAAGCGAGTGTGATTGAGTCTCGTCTGGAGGAGGCGCTACACTTTCGATTGATTCACTTAAATAGACATCTGAGATTTTCTGTGCTTTGGGTTCCAGATGTCTAAGAGAAACAGTTTCTTCCTTTCCGTTCGGGAAACGAACGCAGGCATACTGCGGGTTGCAATTAACAAGTTCCACCTCTTCCACTAACTGATCGTATTTGGGAGAACGTGTCATCCTTTTTAACAGAACGGGGCCTGGAGTCGATAACCAAGTCGGAAGAGAGGTGCCGTACGTTGACTTCCGGTGGAAGTCAAGAAATCTTTCGTGTTGTGTTGTGTTAGTAGCGGTGCACAATAAGGAGCGAACAGAGTGCAAAGCATCTAGAAGCACACATTCGCACTCGGTAATGTCCCGTTGTTGGGTCTTCAACGCCAGAGTGATAGACTTCCAAAGAGTACCGCTAAGCCGTTCGACTTGTCTTTTACCGCGCGGATTGTATGGGGTAGTTCGACTGGTTGCCACACCCCTGTCGTGAAGAAACGTTTGCACCTCACCTGACATGAAAGCTCCACCACGATCAGAATGGACGTATGAGGGCATTCCGAACAAAGAGAACAACTGATTAAAACACTTGATCACGGTGGAT